GTAGATGGAGGGGATGTGCCGGAAAGCTTCAGCCACTGCCATGCCTGATAAGGGAGACAGACGTGTCAGCGATGCAGGAAGGAGTCAAGGTACCAAAGCCCAACCCTGTCCTTCACACAGACACTATTCCCGCTTTCCCTGCCTGGGCTGCCGTTACCCGCTGACAGCAAGGCTCCGGCCTGTTTGCAAAGGGTGGGGAGAAGAGGCGGTTAAAGGCCTTCCAAGGCACCTGGGAGACAATCACTGGAGGAACAATTCTGCTGACTCCGCAACGCCCAGGTTCCCATTTCCCCCAGACCGGCTGCGGAGCCGCTGGGCACGATGGGGGCGATGTCAGACGACAGGTCTGGCGTCGAGGGGGGAGCAGCAGCAAGGCCATAAGGAATGAGGCTCCTGTTCCCATGACAATGCCCCGAGCCATAACCATCCTGCCCTTCTCCTTCCCTTTGGCCTATTTCTGCAGGGCCGGACTCCGAGCCTCTCAACCCAAGTGGCGGCCCAGGGGTCACCTCACCACAGGGCTCCCAATGGGGCCCATAGGCCGTGAGCTCTATGGGGCGGGGACTGGCTCTGCTGTTTGCGCAGCGCAGCAGGGCTACGTCTCAGCTGGGGGGTACCACCGCAATGCACATCGATAATAATAACAGCACGAAGCAGAGGGAGATGGACCAAGGACTCCTGGCTGCCCCGTCTCTGTTAGGCTTTGGGGTCGTTAGCTGCTCGGCCAAATTCCAGCAAAAGGCCTGGCACAGGCCTGGGGCCGGGCACATTTTCAGCTGTTTATCTGAAGCCAGATAATTAGAAGCCAACACCCCGTCCCCCCAGCCCCAGCACTGGGCAAGGGAGAAGGGGGGTTCAGAGGGTCCCCTGCTCCCTTTCCGCTGCATCAGCCCCCTGGTCCCTCTGCTGCGCTTGCCCAGTTCCAATCAGACTGTCCCCACCTGGCTCCTCTCTCTGTCGCTCCCTGACCCTCTCCCGTCCAGCCTGGCAGTGAGTGAACGCAGGCGGGGACAGGGCTGCCCAGCGACGCCAGAGAGCGCTGCCCTTCCATGGCAAAGAACCACCGGCAGGCACTCTGTGGGCTTTAACCCCGCGCCTGCTGAGCCAGACTGCAAGCCTGCTGGGCAGCACCCTGTTTTCCCACCTCTGACAACAGAAGCGCTTGGTTTCTTACAAGGGAATAACATGGAAACTTCCCAGAGCTGCATCCAGCCCACCCCGTGGTGTGGGGAGCAATCCAGGGAACCGCCCGGGCAGCAGCACCTCACCTGCAAAGACGCCCGTGATGACTTGGTGCGGGAAGTGAGCTGCTAGGAAGATCCTGGACAGACTGACAGACACCTGAACCCCCCAGAATGACATCCACAGCGCCCCCCGCAGGCACCTGCAACGAGCAGCGAGAACACAGCAGTCAGTGGGCTGTGGGATTGGTGGGGGGAACGTGATGAACCGTTTACTCAATAAGTAAGATTTGTGGGACATTTCAGGAGGACAGACACAGCAGCAGTGTCTGGGAGGGAGACCCCAGACCCAGGCTGCCAGATCTGAACCAGGCCGTCCCAGTGCCTTGCTGCGGGGGGAGACTCAATCCCACACTGGGGTCTGAACCCACCAGCGGCGCTCCCCATGCAGCTCCAGACTGCACATGCCATGTGCACATTGACACAGCCAGGGGCTGACGGGCACGAGCCCAACCGGGGAGCCGAGCTGGTCAAGCATCAGAGTACGGTCGGCTGCCACGGCCAAGCCAAGAGGAGCCGCACACGTCTGGGATTAGCTGGAGCTCATTCTGCCCAGAGCTAATGCCACTGCCCTGAATTACACCCCTTGGCCCTGCACCCAGCGCGAGGGCAGAGCTGGATCCTTACTGCTGCTGGAAGGGGGATCTCCGGCGCCGACGCAGGGTGCTAAGCAGAGCCGTCACCATCACGTAGTACACCCCAGCTGAGCCCATGGCATGGCCAGAGGGGCTGCCTGTGGAGGAGAATTGGGAGAAGCCTGCAGTGAGCTCAGTGAAGAGAAAACCCCTCCCACTTTGGCTTCTGGCTGCCGGAGAGTTTGAACGCACAGAAGGGAATCATCTCACGGTCTGTTCTAGCCCAGGCCGCCTGCTACAGGCTTCCTGGGCTGATGTTTGATGGGGCCTTTCCCGAGGACTTTAACTATTTAGACATCGTTCCCTTTCACAGTCTCACCCCCCTGATACCTTGGGTGTCGGCTGCTGCGCCTTTAACTGTCTTTTGTCCATTCCAGGCCAGGCCAGAGAGCCAGAGCGCTTGACTGTATTATAAATCGGATCACAGGTAGGACAGACAGACAGCTGCCTGGAGCGAGAACCCCTGTTCCAGCCCACCCCTGGTGAAAGGTTAGGTGGGAACCAGACCACGTGGGGGGAAAGGCAGCCAGAAGGGGGCTCTTCTCACAAAAAAACCAGCTTGGTTTTGATCTGCGTGTCACTCTGGCCCCCAAAATCACAAGCGGGGGATTGGAATCCAGTCTGGCCTCTAAGAATGCAGGAAAGGCTGGAGGCTCAATGCAGAGAGAGGCTGCTGCAGCCCAGGACAGTCCAGAGTCCACCCCGAAGCTGCCAGGCTACAGCTTGAGAGAGGAGTTTTAAGCAAAGGAGGCTGCGGAGGTTGCTAGTGTGCAGACGACCCAGACTTCTCTGCCAGGAGGTTAGCTGGCATAGCGCTCGCCCGGCCCATTTCCCACCCGGGGGCCAGTGCAGCCCCACCACCTCCCTTGGGAGCATGCTCTGCCCTCGGGGAGGGCTCACCCTTCGAACGGAGACTCAGACGCCTAGGTCAATGAGGCACACCAGCTGCCCTGTCTCCCAGCACTGCATGAAGCCTGTGCGGTGCGGGAACCGACTCAGGCCTCCAAATGGGCTTGAATTCAGGGCCTGATTTCTGAGCACCTTAATCCCAGGAGAAATCAGTGGTCACTCAGTAGGACGACTCCTGGGGGTAAAGTGCTACTCAGGACACGCAGGTGTCCTCAGATGGACCTTTGATTCTACGTTCTTTGGGGCAGAAACCTGCCTCCTCTTGTGGGTGCAGAGCACCTAGCCCCTTTGGGGTGTTACATTCATTAACAACCAAAGGCTAATGGTTGCTGTGGGTGCAGTGACTGGTGTCTAGGCTGTGCATTTGTCAGCTTCTCCTGAGTGCCGCATGTGCACTGTGGAGGGGGGTTGCTCACCTGGGCCGGTCTCACAGGTGACAGGGAACTGCTGGATCACAGGGGTGGAGGCGTTGCCATAGTAGCCGGTCTCACGGACCCACCAGTAGGGTCGCTGCCCAAAGAGAATCCTGTAGTGAAATGCAATGGGTCACATGGTCAAATCAGGCATCATCCACCCCCCTCCTCTTGGCCAGCACAACCGGTTCATTCATAGAGGACTCCATGTGGTGCCAAAGTCAGGTCTGGGCTCATTAGCCAGGAAAGAGCGTGAGACCAAGCCGATGTTTTCAGGTTAATCAGAAAGTGTCTGTTCTCAGGGGAAGTGAACTCTGCTCATGGGTCTTGCTGTTTTCCTGGAACCACCCTTTGCCTTCTGACCATTATCTCACTGGGGTCCACACGAAATGCTCTCGAAGTCCCGAGACCTCTAACCAGCCTTTTATCCTCCCCGAACAGCGTGTTTATTTTATTCAGCAATCTCTGACGCTGGGTCAAGGCCAGGCAGGGGTTTCTTTAAGCAAGAGGATGGCATTTTGGGGGACAAATATAGCACATCTTGGCTATACTGGAGGACATGAGGCCAGATGGGCAGTGACTGGTTTAAGCCCCCTGAGATGAGCGCTAGTTGCCCAGAAATACACCGTTGGCCTGCTGTATGATGGCGTGCACAGCCCACCCAAGCCCTGCACAGCCTGGCCCTTGCCATGACCATGACAGGAAAGGAACAGGAGCTTGAACCAGGTGTTTTTAACAGGTTTAAAGTGAATTTCCTGCTGGCAAAAGGTGCTTGATTGACAGCTCTGATCGCTGACAGGCTGCTATTTGCTGATAGTGCAAGCCTCCCCCACAGTCCCCTGCAACTGTGCCTCCGCCCTGACCTGGAGAGACCTGCGTTAGGGGCTGAGAGGTGAGAACAGTCGCCAGGGCCTACTGAGGCCTACTTAACATTTAGGTTGCCATAGCTACGTCGCTCAGGGGAGTGAAAAATCCACAGCCCCGGGTGACATAGTGACACCAACTTAAGCTCCTGTGTAGGCGCAGCTAGGTCAAAGGAAGGCTGCGCCCATTGTCCGAGCTACCACTGCTTGGGGAGATGGTGTTTCTACAGCAACAGAAACACCCCTTCCGTCAGTGCAGCCTGTGTCTACGCTATGGGGTCATGCAGGCATCGCTAAGGCCCCTGCTATGGCTGTAGTGTAGACATGGCCTCAAGCCTCGGCCTCTTTACAGTGCCAGTGGGCGTGGTGTCTTTCAAGAGCTGGGTTTAACTGATACCACAAGACAAACATTGCAGAATGACCGCACCCTGCAGACCGACCCCCAGCAAACCTGCCCTGCCTGAGGAAGAGTCAACAGTGTGCCCTTGTTGCCAAGAAGGCTAACGGCATTTTGGGCTGTATAAATAGGAGCATTGCCAGCAGATCGAGGGATGTGATCATTCCCCTCTATTCGGCATTGGTGAGGCCTCATCTGGAGTACTGTGTCCAGTTTTGGGCCCCACACTACAAGAAGGATGTGGAAAAACTGGAAAGAGTCCAGCGAAGGGCAACAAAAATTATTAGGGGACTGGAGCACATGACTTATGAGGAGAGGCTGAGGGAACCAGGGTTATTTAGTCTGCAGAAGAGAAGAATGAGAGGGGATTTGATAGCTGCTTTCAACTACCTGAAAGGGGGGTTCCAAAGAGGATGGATCTAGATTGTTCTCAGTGGTACCAGATGACAGAACAAGGAGCAATGGTCTCAAGTTGCAGTAGGGGAGGTTTAGGTTGGATATTAGGAAAAACATTTTCACTAGGAGGATGGTGAAGCACTGGAATGGGTTCCCTAGTGAGGTGGTGGAATCTCCTTCCTTAGAGGTTTTTAAGGTCAGGCTTGACAAAGCCCAGGCTGGGATGATTTAGTTGGGAATTGGTCCTGCTTTGAGCAGGGGGTTGGCTTAGATACCTCCTGAGGTCCCTTCCAACCCTGATATTCTATGATTCTATGATTCTGAGAGTCTGTGGAGCACGTGAGCTTGCCTCTCTCACCGACAGAAGCTGGACCAATAAAAGTTATTACCTCCTGCACCTTGTCTCGCTGACTGCCAGTGCCTCTATCACTCATTTAATAAATTACAGTAATATTGATGTGCCCAGAGCTACAATAAATCAAACATGGTATGGAGAGGAAATCAGGCAACAGCGCCCTGCTGGCCCATCTGGGCAGTTTCTCTTTCTAGTATTAAATTACATCAGTTTAACTCAAGCGCTCAAGAAAATGCATTTTTACATGGCTTAATTTTAAAAATACACAGACAGCCCCTTTAATGCACTTCATTTGTAACACAGGAGCCGTTTAGTATACGATAGTAACGTATCTCATGTGAACTTCTGCATGAGGGTGAGTGTGTATGAGTGCACATGTGTGTATTAACGTGAGTGTGCCCCTCCCCGGCTCTCTTATAGACACATAACCCTGGGCCTTGCCTTGGCAGTGAGGCCCACACACTCACCACTTAAAGACCAGGTTGAGCCAGTCCCCGATCACAGCCACCCAGATCAGCTTGATGCCCACGGCCTCGCAGAGGTGGAACCAGATGGGGAAGAGAATGAAGAAGGTGTTTCTGAGGTCGGCCGCAAAGGAGATGAAGAGGAACCAGCCCTGGGAGCTCTGGTAGTTCTCCTGCAGGTAGTGAGTCATTTGGACTCCAGAGCTGTGTACAAAATCCATTCCTGTCCCCATGGCTGCAGCTCAGGCTGCGGGGAGATTGCTGGGGCTTTGGGACGGAATGCGACGCCTCACTTTTGTGGCTGGCTGGTTATATACTGCTTGGGACGCAGATTACATTTGCTTTTCAAAGATGTCCCCCCAATCAAGACATGTTAGCACCAAAGCTCCTCAGCAAACATTACTTCACAGGAGTTTGACACAATTACCTGCTCCAGGCTTCTGTCTCAGCAATTCACAGTGATCTGCTCAAATCAATCATTAACCCACTAGCACTGGTGGGAAAAACGAGACTTTCTTTTTTGCAGCTTTTGCTGTTTTTCCAGCCGCTGAAAGGCTCCCAGGAAGGGGACTGAAGGGTCAGGAAAGGGATCTAAATTGGGCGGTGTGCTATGACGTGGACCCATCTCTCCTGTGGGACGCAAGGTCCCCTGAGTCTGTGCTGAATGGGTCGCTCTGAAAGACGATGACTACGCTCTTCGTTTTTGCAGGAAAATGATTATAGGCTTGATTAATTATTTGTATTATCAGAGCACCCAGGAACCCTATTTGTGCACCATTATGCTAGGCTCTGTACGAACACAGACCACAGAGACGGTCCCTGCCCCAGGAGGTTACAATTTATACCTTTTATTTTAGAATACGAGTCAGCGGCCTTGCCGAGAAGCAGCAGGGACAAGTCAGTATTTATCATCAGTTGTTAGACCCCTCACAGAAACCCAGCCAGTTACTCAAAATGTCTATGGCGACCTTGGCAGGAGGGTGGGGTGGGTGGGAAGGGGCAGATACCTCACGCCCTCTGGCATGTTGCAGTATTCAGAATATTCCTACATCATGGTTTTGTACTTTGTCAAATGGTATCAGGAATTGAATTATCTGGTAAAATGAGGAGCTGTTATCTTTGGGTTGAGCCAGGTAGAGTGGGCTCGGACTGTGCAGGCTTCATTAGGATTAGTGACGGTGTTATTATTTTAAAATGGACTTATGTGACAAATGGCCACAGTATCCTATAAATGTTGGAGCCCTTCCCTGCGCTGGAGAGTTTACAATTGAAGATAAACAAGGCAAACAAAGGCAAGCCCCAGAACAATAGTTTCTGAAAGGCAGGTTGCAGGAATTTCTGGTGGGCAGAAGGCAGGAGGCGTTCTGGGAAGAGGTGGATTTTAAAGGACGATTTGAAGGACAGGAGGTCACTTGGTGGATAAGAAAAGGGAGCGTGTCTGTGTTCCATACTTCACCCACATATAGCTCTGTCTGTCCACTGTCAGTGTGTCCAGCCCTGTAGCGCCTTGCTAGGCCAGTCCTTGGCTGCCCAATTCTGCTCTGCCAGTGCACCGCAAACCTGACATGGACCCCTCTCCCACTATGGCAGCCTTAAGCCTCTCCTGAGCAGAGACTGGCCACCATGCCAGACTAGCAGGTGGTGTTATGATGTGGACATGTGTCCACCAGGGCTTAGAGTGAGACTCATTCAGCTCACTCGCTTTTCTGGGACCTGAAACAGGATTTAAACCCAGGTCTCCAAAACTGCTTTGACTGTACCACTGAACCCATTCTCTTCTGGCTACACCGCTGGCCCAGTGCGTGCACACACCCAGGGGCGGCTCTTTGGTTTTTGCCGCCCCAAGCACGGCAGTCAGGCGGCTTTCAGCGGCATGCCTGCGGGAGGGAGGTCCGCCAGTGCCACGCCTTCGGTGTCCCCGCCGCCGAATTGCCACCGAATCCGCAGGACCGGCGAACCTCCCGCAGGCACGCCACCGAAGGCAGCCTGACTGCCGCCCTCACAGCAACCGGCACTCCACCCCCCCATGGTTTGCCGCCCCAGGCACGCGCTTGCTGCGCTGGTGCCTGGAGCCGCCCCTGCACACACCCCACACACCCTTGTGCTTCCTGAACCCCCACCAAAAGGAGTGACGGGACAGTTTTATGAGGCTTGAATCAAGAAAAGAGACAAAGAACCTTTTATGGCACGACAGCGTGTGTGGAGTTGGAGTGCGGGGCAGGTGGGGGCTGGGCGTGCGCAGTGGAGCGTATGGGGGGTGGGAAGGATCGCTGCACAGCGGAGGCACTAGAAAGGGTGACCAAGGAGGTAGACAGTGTGAGGTTCTTAAATAGTACAAGGGAATGAACTCTGTTCAAACAACAGCTACAGAATCATTCTTCGGCCATCCCCATATCAGCTCCAGGCGGAGAGCAAACCCCATAGGGCTTCCCATCTAGCTTCCTGCCATACATCCTGTAGGACCATGTGTTTCCGTGTGCGCTATCTCCTTTCCTCCGCTCCAGGAAGTCAGCTCAAAGCACAGCACAAAGCAATCACGCACGTCCTCTGCAAGTGCAGCTACCAACAGGGCTGACATTGGCATATGAATGATGTTGATTGTTCCATGCTGGCATTTATGTGTGTCAGCACTGAGTGCTCACTGAGCCCACGGGGGCTTTCCAGACCCTAAAGAGTCAGGAAACCTCCAGCCATCACAAACAGTGAAGCCACATGCGAGCCAGGTTTGCTAAACCCATACTAATTGCTGTGAGGAAAACGTGTGTCTGACTCTGAGCCAATCTTGTTGTGACTTTAACCCTAACCCTGACACTTCACAAATAACAGTGAAACTTCAAAGCAAGTGGGCACAGCACAAGGCGCAAACACATCTCCCCTATGTTGGGCCTTGATTTCAACACTGGGCTCATTCAAGAGATGCCAGTGACCAGCGAGGGGACAGCAGCTGTGTCTCTCCCTCCCGCGCAGGGGACTGGGCTGCCCCGAAGAGCCCTCCCATTCCATCACTGGACTCACTGTATGTCTCTTCCACTGGATTATTAATAATAATAAAATGCAGCCACAAGCCAATAATGTCCAGGACTCCAGGGGCAGCATATCTGCCAAGTGAGCCTCCAGCTGATTGAGCGGCTAGGGCAGACGTGGGCAAACTACGGCCCATGGGCCATATCTGGCCCACGGGACCGTCCTGCCCGGCCCCTAAGCCTAGTCCCCGGCCCCTCCCCCGCTGTCCCCCCTTCCTCACAGCCACGCCGCCACGCGGGCCGCGCTCTGGCCCACTGCTCCCACTGGGCAGCGTGGGGCGCGCAGCTGGCTCTGGCCGGGTGTCGTAGCTACGAGCTCCTGCTGCTGGTAAGGGGGCGGGGAGGGGGTTGGGTAGGGGAGCAGGAGGTCCTGGGTGGCAGTCAGGGAGCAGGGGGGTTGGATAGGGGGCAGGGGTCCCGGGAGGGGGCGGTCAGGGGATAAGGAGCAGTGGGGGTTGGATGGGTTGGGAGTCCTGGGGGCCAGTCAGGGAGGAGGGAGCGGTTGGATGGGGCAGAGGTTCTGGGGGGGCAGTCAGGGGATGGGGAAC